AACATTTTTAGTTTGTACTTTAACAGCTACAGGTGCTGGTCATAAAATTAGAATATCATGAAAAAGTAGATTGATTTCAGTAATTCCATTTAAAAAGTGAAACTTGTATATTATATTCATACATTACATACAAACTCATATATTTCAGATGTTTATTTTGTTTAATTTTGATGATTACAAATGACAACAAATGAAAATCTCAAATTCATCATATCAGAAAATTAGAATATTGTGAAAAGGTTCAAAATTGATGGCCCCTGGTGCCACACTCTAATCAGCTAATTAACTCAAACCACCTGCAAAAGCCTTTAAATGGTCTTTCAGTCTAGTTCTATAGGCTACACAATCATGGGGAAGACTGCTGACTTGACAGTTGTCCAAAAGACGACCATCGACACCTTGCACAAGGAGGGCAAGACACAAAAGGTCATCGCTAAAGAGGCTGGCTGTTCACAGAGCTCAGTGTCCAAGCACATTAATAGAGAGGCGAAGGGAAGGAAAAGATGTGGTCGAAAAAAGTGTACAAGCAAGAGAGATAACCGCACCCTGGAGAGGATTGTGAAACAAAACCCATTCAAAAATGTGGGGGAGATTCACAAAGAGTGGACTGCAGCTGGAGTGAGTGCTTCAAGAACCACCACACACAGACGTATGAAAGACATGGGTTTCTGCTGTCGCATTCCTTGTGTCAAGCCACTCTTGAACCACAGACAGCGTCAGAAGCGTCTTGCCTGGGCTAAAGAGAAACAGGACTGGACTGCTGGTGAGTGGTCCAAAGTCATGTTCTCTGATGAAAGTAAATTTTGCATTTCCTTTGGAAATCAAGGTCCCAGAGTCTGGAGGAAAAGAAGAGAGGCACTTCATCCACGTTGCTTGAAGTCCAGTGTAAAGTTTCCACAGTCAGTGATGGTTTGGGGTGCCATGTCATCTGCTGGTGTTGGTCCATTGTGTTTTCTGAGGTCCAGGGTCAACGCAGCCACATACCAGGAAGTTTTAGAGCACTTCATGCTTCCTGCAGCTGACCAACTTTTTGGAGATGCAGATTTCATTTTCCAACAGGACTTGGCACCTGCACACAGTGCCAAAGCTACCAGTACCTGGTTGAAGGACCATGGTATCCCTGTTCTTAATTGGCCAGCAAACTCTCCTGACCTTAACCCCATAGAAAATCTATGGGGTATTGTGAAGAAGAAGATGCAATACACCAGACCCAACAATTCAGAAGAGCTAAAAGCCACTATTAGAGCAACCTGGGCTATCATAACACCTGAGCAGTGCCACAGACTGATCGACTCCATGCCACGCCGCATTGCTGCAGTAATACAGGCCAAAGGAGGCCCAACTAAATACTGAGTGCTGTACATGCTCATACTTTTCATGTTCATACTTTTCAGTTGGCCAACATTTCTATAAATCCTTTGTTTTTATTGGTCTTCAGTAATATTCTAATTTTCTGATATGATGAATTTGAGATTTTCATTTGTTGTCATTTGTAATCATCAAAATTAAACAAAATAAACATCTTAAATATATGAGTTTGTATGTAATGTATGAATATAATATACAAGTTTCACTTTTTAAATGGAATTACTGAAATCAATCTACTTTTTCATGATATTCTAATTTTATGACCAGCACCTGTAATGTTTAGACTCCGAACAAAAGCATCTTCTTTAGCTTCCAGTCCCGCGTAGTACTTGCACTACGGAAGTTAACACACATCACATAATCACCTGCGACATAAATCAGCCCTGCTCATGCAGGCGTAATTAAACTAAAATTGCTGTAGTGTCACGTTTCAGGAAGAAAGAACTCATCGTGAGTAATGCTACTCATAGGCGGAGGAGGTGGGAGGTTATTAAACTAGAAGATCACACTCTGCCTCAAAATTTTCTAACCTTTTTTTTTTTCTTTCTAAATCATCCACCTGCTTCACTAACAGGCAGATGTGTCTTTCTTTCTTTTTTAAGTTCAGATTCAAACTCACTCATTCAAATCCTCACTCTTCCACATCTAAAGATTATCTCACCTATCCTGGCTTCTCTTCATTGGCTTCCTGTTAAATCAAGAATAGAATTTAAAATCCTCCTTCTCACATATAAAGCCTTAAATGGCCAAGCTCCATCTTATATCAGAGATCTGATTGTTCCTTATGTTCCTAACAGAGCACTTCGCTCTCAATCTGCAGGTTTACTAGTGGTTCCTAGAATTTCTAAAAGTAGAATGGGAGGCAGATCTTTTAGTTATCAGGCTCCTCTCCTGTGGAACCAACTACCAGTTTTAGTCCGTGAGGCAGACACCCTGTCAACTTTTGAGGGTAGGCTTAAAACTTTCCATTTTGATCAAGCTTATAGTTAGAGTGGTTCAGGTTATCCTGAGCTATCTCTATAGTTATGCTGCTATAGGCTTAGACTTTTGGAGGACATAGGGACCCCCATTTCATCATTCTGCTTCATTCTCTCTCTGTTCTCCTATTCTGCAGAATCTGTTAGTTCAATCTCTAACCTTCTGCTCTCTCTGCTTTTCCTCAGAGTAGCTTTGCTTCGTCTGTTCCTGTTTGGCTGTGACGTCATCCTGGAAAGAAACATCAGCTGTGCTGCTTCTATCAACACCCTTGTTTATAGATGTTGGAGATCGGCCTGTTTTCCAGTGTGGTCCTGTTTCTCTGACCGTGACTGAGTGGATGTGCTCTCTTCGTCCTCTGGCATGGGAGCTGCCTTGGAGCTCGTCTGCCTGGCTGTGTGTTTCCTGGACGGGGCCGCCTTTTACAGCTGCTTTTTGTATCTCTGCTTCTGTCTCCTTGAACCCCAGTCGGCCTCGGCAGATGGCCGCTCACACTGAGCCTGGTTCTGCTGGAGGTTTCTTCCTGTTAAAAGGGAGTTTTTCCTCTCCACTGTCGCTACAAGCATGCTTAGTGTGGGGGATTGTATTTGAGTCAATGAGTCAATGCAATCAACTGGTTTTCCTTAGATAGAAAACTTTGTATCAATTTGACTGTATGATCTGGTTGAACTGTAAAGTGCCTTGAGATGACATGTGTTGTGAATTTGGCGCTATATAAATAAACTGAATTGAATTGAATTGAATTAAAGCAGTTTATTCTGCTTTTACAGAACACCAGCCTAATTTAGATAGAAGACAAGTGTTTCTTTTTCACTTCTAAATGCAAAATCCAAATTTTCATAGTACCATGTTAGAAAAAAGACAAAATATGTGGTGTAACAGAGAAAAAGAAGGATCAACAGGACATTTTTAATTTAGGCAGTACATAAATTAGACAGACAGACAGACAAAAAGACAGACAGACAGAAAGGTAGATACGAGGGCCGTTCAATAAGTAATGCCCCTGACCCACTTCCAGATGTTGGATCGAGCTGAAATTTTGCATTTGGAGTATTTTAAATCTATAGAGATTAAGTAAGAAATTACAGCTCCTAACTATTTGGGGTTCCTGATTTACAGGTGTTTCAACTGAGTAAAGTCTGAAATGGAGCCCTTTGAGTGTCGAGCGGTGATCTGGTGTTTCTATTTGAAAGGACTCACACCACGGGAGACTTTTGATATAATTAAAGTAACTTGTGGTGATCATGCCCATTATAAGACCTTGCTAAATGTTTTACAAGGTTATATTATGGGACATTATCACTGTAAGTTACTTTCATTTGATCAAAAGTCTCCCATTGTGTGCCTGCTTTCAAACGCAAAAACTCCGACTTGACTTAGTTTTAACACAAGTAAATCAGAAACCACAATTAGTCCAGAACTGTAATTTGCTATTTAATCTATAGAGATTTAAAATACTTCACATGCAAAATTTTCAGGTTGATCAAATATCTGGAAGTGGGCCAGGGGCATTAGTTATTGAACGCCCCTCGTAGACAGACAGACAGAAAGATAGCATAATGTGTAATTTACTATTTGATACCCTGTGCAATAACCTGTTTCTCTATATTTGACACCCAGTACAATAACTATTTATATAAATATAAAAGTATCCATGTATATAAATACCCACGTAAACACCATGTGCAATAACCCTGTATAATAATCCTACCATAAAAACATAATAAAAATGTCATATGTAGTATATATCCCATGCACCTTTTTCTCCCTTTAGCACATTCTTCCTCTTCGACTATGTCAGCTGATGTAAATAAATTTCTTCACTGTGGGATCAATTAAGTCAATGAATCCATCAATATTCAGCAAGATCTTTTTTTTTGTTTCCCTCATTCCATTTTTCAACATGTTTTTATCTAGCTTTTACTTAAATAAGTAGGTTGATTAAAATACATAAAATTGTCCATTAGGGTAAACTTGTAATCTATTAAAAACCTGGATCAAGAAGAAAACGCCTGTTTAGTTGAAGCATCATTAAAACGAAGTTTGAATTCAGGATCGAATCCGGAAACAGAAAAACTGCATGAGGGCGTCTCAAGGAGGCAACATTTAAATTAACTGCAGATCAAAACCCCTATAGCGATCACATTCTGGTTCAAAAATAAGAGAGGTGAATACATTCAGCAACATCTAAGCTCTGTGATTAATATTCTAATCCTCATAATTTCAAAATGAACATCAAACAGCTTTAACCTCTACTGCCTAATCTTTGCTATGCTAAAAACAAACTGAAGGTGACTTCCTTTTTTTTCTCTGTGCAGCTTCATCACTTGAAGCAACTGGAACAAAGGTGCTCCTATCTGACAAAATGTGGGGAAATGATCCTTTCAATCACATTAGGCTAAAATCCCCTCACAAGGCTGTAGCTCAAGGCCCTCTTCATCAAGATGCAGTGACATATTTCTGACACCCTGGCTTAGTGGGATGCTCCATCACTTGTGTTTACTGTTTACTGTCACCTTGTTTCTCTCTAAAAAGGGCTGCGGGACTTATCCTCAGTGCTTTCTGGTATTCATCTTTCATTAATCGTGACAACCCCATGTTTGTTTTGTGAACACATGCGCTCAGAGGCACTCATACAAAAAGCAGAGACTTCTAACCTGTTCCTTGACAGAGGCGAGGATGGCGGAGGTGGTTTCAGACTCTGAGCCGTCTCCATTGGAGGCATTGAGGACGGGGCTCAACATGGCGGCGGCGCTGGCACTGTCAGACGCCACCTCAGGCACTGGCATTCCTCCTGGAAAGAAGAGGCACATCCAAGTCTTTTATGAAAGGCACTCTAGTATGGCAACATTTAGACAAGGTCACTTTCACATGAAAACTTTGACTCATTCCAGTGTTTCTATAAAGTGGGTTAGGTGTGAGAGACACCTATTTTTTTAGCGCATTCCATGTTTTTCAATTGAATAATAAAGAGTCAATTTGATGGTGTACTACAGGGGTAGGCAACGTTGGTCCTCCAGTGCCACTGTATTGCAGATTTTGCATGCATCCCTTCTTCAAAACACCTGAAACAAATTAATGGTTAATGGCCAGACCGCTGCAGAGCTTACCAACATGCCAATGAGGTAATTTGGCCTTTTGTTTGAGGAGTGTTGGAGCAGGGATGCATGAAAATTCTGCAGGACAGTGTAACTCAAGGAACAACAGCTGGGTTTATGTGCTCATACATGAAATAGATACAGATACAGCTTCATAAAAGCCTTCATAACACTAGAACATTTGGACAAAAAATTACCTATCTAAAACTGCTAGTTATATTTGATCAAACTATAAAATATTATTTAATTATAAAACTGAAGGGTGAAAAAAAAGACATACGAAAATGGTAAAGTTTAGAAATTTCTGTTCAGACTATTGATCAGAGCTTTGTAAAACCACTCCTTGCTGCAAGTACAGCTGTTAGACTTTTGGGAGACTAATCTTTTTGCCTGTTCATTATTACAAACTAGTTCAATCATGTCAGATTGATGGAAACTATCTGCGAACAGTAATGGTCTATCCATGTTACAGATGTAGCTAATTGGACCACCTGAGCACATTAAAATGGTTTGAACTAAGCCATTCCATGGTAACACTATGTATTGGTGATTATCATCCAATGTTTATCTCTAAATGCTGACAAAAAGCATTCCTGCATCATGATGCAGCCAGCACCACATTTCACTATAGAGTTGCTGGATTTAAGGCGTCGGTCTTTTATCACACATTGTACTAACACCAAAAAAAGAACCATTTTGGTTTTAACCGATGGAAGACCTTTTTTCAAAATCTTTGTCCCTTGAAGTGACTTGTGACAAACCTTTATTTTTTAAAGTCCCTTCTAATAAAGAATGATTATTTCTTACCACTATTCCTGGCAGATTGCTAAATTTTAACAATAATAGTTGTGTTTGTTGACAGATTCTTCCACCTGACCACCTGAATATCCCTCACACAATCCTTCACATTAGGTCTAGGTGAATAAAACCATGACTAAAATAGAAATATATAATTTAAGGCTGAAAAAAATCAATCAGATTAATTGTGATTAATTTATTATTGAAATAATCATCAACTAATTTAGAAATTGATTAATCGATAACTGGAGTATAGAGACTCCATACTTGCATGGCTCTGAACTTCCCACATCAATGCCGTTTGCACCATGTCTCTCCTACACTGTTTACATTTTGATAACTGCTGTACTTTCAACATGGGAATGTTAATTTCACTGCTAAGCTGCTCATTCACTGTCAAAAAGCTGTATGTATTGAAGCTGTTTTGTATACACTGTGTATATAAGATGACAATAAAGATTTTGTATAAATCTAAGTCTAAAACATGTCTTTAGTTTAGAGAGCAACCCTCTAAGAGCAGTAATTATATCCAAATTGTAAAAAAAAAAATATATAAACATTTCGCATTTAAGATGCTCTACCCAGAACTGTGGTGGAAATGTTTTAGTATCACCTGGTTTAATTTAGTAAAAAAAATCTTCTTTAAGGAAGCTTTGGCTATATGATTATTAATTGATGATTCGAAAAAATAATCGACAAAAATAATCAGTTGCAACATGAAAGCAATAGTCAGGCATTATATTCTTTAAATATTTTTCTCCATAGGCTCATTATAAAGACTGCAAGCCATGCATATTATTTAAGTGAAAGCCAATTTATTTGCCAAAAACAGAAAATTACCCTCTTGACCTTAAATAATTATATATAGTTATTTGGCTAATTTTAAAAGCTTCAGGCTTTCCTTTACACTAATCCTACCCCTACCTCAATCAAGTTTATCTTTTTTCCAGATGCCTTAGTCAGTTTGATGAATCTCTACAATTTTTGTTTAGATTGAGCAGCTCCAAAAATGTTCCAGAGGTTGCCAAACTCTGGACTATCTTATAATCCCAATAAGCTACAGTTTGTGGTTGCAATCATTTATCAATATTACATAAATATGTTCCACACGCAGCTCAGTTTCAGGAATCAAAATATGATGCCATGTGGATACTTTCAGGAGCACCAGATGGACTTTCGTTCACACAAACACACTAAAATCCAATGCTCTCTGCCATGTGTCATCCCATATTAGACCAAACGTAGGAGGACATGGGCTCTGCATGTGCCATGTAATCCTGAAGCGGCAAAGTTGGTGGAACAGCTGCATCAACCAGCTTTACACACTGATAAAAAAAAAAATTTGCCATGAGGAATCTGCACATACACACACATACACAAACGGCTGTCGGCGTAAGGCAGCGCTTCCCGGCTGCAGAGGTAAGGAAAGTGGGGCGTGTGAGTAGAGCAGGGGGACGGGGGTGGGAGCAGCTGAAAAGCTGAGAAAGAGCAAGGAGAAGGCAGTGAGGAGATGGAGAGGAGGTGAAGAGAACTTAACTTCTTGCTTAGTGCAATTCAACAATCTCTAGCTGACCTGGCTTTACTGGTCTTCCATTCTGGAGAGTGCTCCTCCTCCTCCTCCTCTCCATCAATTCCCCCATTTCTTTTTCTGGACTTAAATTTTTCATTACTATCCACCTTGTTACTTACACTTTATCCTTTTCTTTTCTCCCTTAAGGTTGTTTTTCTGCTTTAAAACTTGCTTCTCTTTCTCTACATCATTGCCTGCTGACTTCTCTTCACTTGACCTGTTTTACTATCCTTTTCCAGTAGCACATTTCTGCTACATTGGACCTAAGTTATTTCTTCACCTTGCTTTGTTTTGTTCATTTGGTCATAAATACAAAGCTTACTGTTGAAACTATATATCTGCATTTACTGTGTAAAACGCAGAGAGTCTTTTTCTCAGTGATTAAATCAACAAAATAACCTTAATTTGCTAAATTTCAGTCATAGGAATGTTATCTTTACATTCACAAAGATAACTATACTTATAAATCCTTGAGAGAACTGGTGATGATGATATCATATTTTTGTGATACATTTGCTTATTGCATTTTATAAAAGAACTTAGGAAAATAAAACTTAGGAAATATGTCCATTTAGCCACAACACAAAACTAAGCAACATTCAGAAGAGCATAGACTAAAACTAAAAAAAATGTTTTACCATCAGGGAAATATGTTAGAGGGTTTGGGCCGTTGGAAAATGAAAACGTTTCTAAAATTCTGGCTTTTTTTTGCTAAATCCTTAATATTTATTTAAATACTAATTTCTGAGAAATACTGAAATCTACCAAAATACTGTTGTTGTCTGAATTCTAATAATTTGTTGATTTTTTTTTCCACAATAGTCCATGTACTCTTGCCCAGAAATAAGATCTATATCATCACTGACTGAAATGCTACTCAGTAAGGAAGAAGACATCACTCCAAATGTAACATGAGAAACCAGATTAGATTTTGCCAATCCACCCAGTGGTATAGGCCACCATTTTCGGACACATTTGCAGTCTTTATAGTGTTTGCTCATAATGACCAGTGATACTTGAGGAGGAAACATTGGGGAGCATGCAAGCATCCAAACTCCTTCGCAACTATGAAGGCAGGGGTAGGAAGCATCATGTTTTTTCTGTATTTGACTGCAGGAGGGACTGCTGAGCTTCACAAAATGAAATCATGACATGGAACATTGAAGCAACTTCACCAGACATTAGCCAAATAATTGAACATTTTACACACAGGCTTCAAGACAGACAGTGAACAAAATCACAAACTTATTCACAAAGTGTTTTAAAGACACAGAGTCAGTGTTTTGGAGCAGTTTTCACAATGATCTCTGTATTGTAAACAATTTTCAGACAGTGATCAAAAGGTGTGTGTATGTCAGTTCTTTCAAGATAATATAACCCATGTATCAACCCAAGACAGTTCATAAGGAAGAACTACTAAATGGTAAATGTAGTTCTGCTCTGCAAAAATGCTCACTCACCATTCTGGCATTTAGCATATACAGGTGCTGGTCATAAAATTAGAATATCATGAAAAAGTAGATTGATTTCAGTAATTCCATTTAAAAAGTGAAACTTGTATATTATATTCATACATTACATACAAACTCATATATTTCAGATGTTTATTTTGTTTAATTTTGATGATTACAAATGACAACAAATGAAAATCTCAAATTCATCATATCAGAAAATTAGAATATTGTGAAAAGGTTCAAAATTGATGGCCCCTGGTGCCACACTCTAATCAGCTAATTAACTCAAACCACCTGCAAAAGCCTTTAAATGGTCTTTCAGTCTAGTTCTATAGGCTACACAATCATGGGGAAGACTGCTGACTTGACAGTTGTCCAAAAGACGACCATCGACACCTTGCACAAGGAGGGCAAGACACAAAAGGTCATCGCTAAAGAGGCTGGCTGTTCAGAGCTCAGTGTCCAAGCACATTAATAGAGAGGCGAAGGGAAGGAAAAGATGTGGTCGAAAAAAGTGTACAAGCAAGAGAGATAACCGCACCCTGGAGAGGATTGTGAAACAAAACCCCTTCAAAAATGTGGGGGAGATTCACAAAGAGTGGACTGCAGCTGGAGTGAGTGCTTCAAGAACCACCACACACAGACGTATGAAAGACATGGGTTTCTGCTGTCGCATTCCTTGTGTCAAGCCACTCTTGAACCACAGACAGCGTCAGAAGCGTCTTGCCTGGGCTAAAGAGAAACAGGACTGGACTGCTGGTGAGTGGTCCAAAGTCATGTTCTCTGATGAAAGTAAATTTTGCATTTCCTTTGGAAATCAAAGTCCCAGAGTCTGGAGGAAAAGAAGAGAGGCACTTCATCCACGTTGCTTGAA